TGCTGTGGATTTTGCATTAATTTAGAACACCGACCTTTATTTATAATTCTATTTTAGGAAATACCATCTTGTTTGGAAGATTCGGTTGGATTATTATTTATTTCATTTCATTTCAGGGAGAGTGAGAGATCAACTGCTGTGTGCGCTGACGCAAAATATATTGTGAGAGAAGGCAAAACATATAGCAAGGCAACTCAAAAGGTATTCCTCAAAACAATGATCGCCATCCTGCCGTCATAGTTTAGGTTCTTCTAGTCTCAATAGCAAATGCATTTTTCACATCTGGAAACGGATGTGCAACAATCCAACAAAGAATGCTGTGTGAAAGCCTGAATACAAATGCACTTAAAGCCAAACCCTTTAGTTCTAGTGACATATTTATTAATAGTTCTCATAGACACATAAACATAATTCTTTGGCTTTTGGTATGTTGTTTTATGAGATATATTATCAAGAATAAAATCAGTACCAGGCTCTGTGTAGCCTAGCTAACCACACCCACATGCTCAAAAAACCCAACCCTGCATAATAAAAGTTGTCTTTTACTTTTTTAGACATAACTTTTTTAGTCTTTATTGTGCATCAAAATGTTATTTTTAATGATAACAAATGAAAATAAAAGTCATTTAGGATGTGCCAGTCGTACAAGTGGGCAGGCCAACTCGCAATGCAGCGCAATCGGGCAAAGTGACGCACATTTCCTCATACGGCGGTTCATGATATCTCATGAGAAGCTATTTTTTGTGCGTTCTCCTACGAATGTCTAGCAACACAACCGGTCAACGTGCCTGTGAAAGCCCCTGCAGTGCAAAACTTCTTGAGACAACAATACTGTTCTGGTTCAGGAAAAGATTGTGGTTTGGTTTAAAATAGGTATGCTTGCTACGTAACTTACCGCCGTTGTGTTAGTTAAACTTTGTTTGACAGTCCACCCCGACCTCATCTCTACGCAGACATTGTCGTCCTCTGTACTACATTACTTGACTTCCGTAGAGGCAGACCTGCACATGGCTCACGATTACGTGGGATAGATATACCTACGAAATGTAATGCACTAAGTACAAATGACGAATGAGGACAGCCTGAGTGACGCAAAGTAGAGCAGTAATGGCAGACATTTGTCAGCATTTCAGACTCCCAAAAGATCCTTCTTGTGATGCAGACATTTTGTAAATGCATCACCTAACAACATTACCTAGTTCAAGTGCCGAGCTTTAATGACATGTCTGTTCAGGGGATTGTGAAATGACCACATTTGTCTTCCCTGTTTCTCCCAAACAGAAAGGGAAAGCTTTTTCCTCCCTCTATCCCCTTCAGTCTGCAGCTCTCTCTGGCTCCATGCTTATAATCCTGGAGCCGCTCAATGGGCTCCCAGTATGGGCCATTATTCACTCCAATACTTTCTCTCTGTGCTGGTCAATAGCCAAGCATGTAGTCAGAAATGAAAAGGTTTATTTGTTCCATGGGGCAGATGGATCTAACCGCAGGGGCAGCACCACCTTATGGAATCTATAGCGTCCTTTTCAGAGGAATGACGATGGAAATATCCTTGTATTTTTTTCACATATTGCTTTGTTTATTTATTTGTTGTCATCCAGGCAATTTGGCGGTAGCTATTTGTTTTGAAATATGGTAAATCTTCAGAAGTAATAACTTCTGGTAGGTAGCCTGACATGGAATTGCAGTCTTTTTCTCCCTTTTTATCTGCGACAATTCAATCAGGCAGCTCGACTGCGAACCTGGGCTCATCTCTGTACTGCGTCGACCCTTTTCTCTTTGCTTATCTGAGGATGAGAGTTGGGCTAATGACGAAGCAATAGGGTGAGCTATTCACATACAAAATGACTCGCATGATTCTAGTTTCAGTTACCATTCAGGGACTATAAGCACTTGAATAAACAATAAGTTTTAGGCTTAAATTTGCAACTTTAAATCTTGGAAAGAGAAACTTATGAGCAGATGAAGGCAGCAAGACTTCTGCCAGACTGCTGTAGGGGGACGCATAGTGAATGAGAGAAATCTAGGACTTAATGAGAGAAAGATTGGACTCTTGAATCCGCAGTGCAATCATTTGGCTTCAGAACACTTGGATTAGATTATGCCGCTGAACTGTTTGGAGAAATATGCAGGTCTCAGAAAGAGCTTGTTCAGGTACTTCAGCTAATTGAGACTCGTACCTGCTGAGTTAACACTGGAATTAGCTTTTTAGATTTACTTGAGGGTGAGTAGAAAACGACAACATGTTTATTTCTGGATGATTTTTTGTATATATATATATATATATATATATATATACAGTATATATATAACCAGAACCTGAGAGACCTTAGCCTAGCAGGGGGCAATCATTCAACATTTTCAGTGACAAAAGATCCATGTGACGTATTGGAGTTTGAACACTGCAGCTCCCGGATTCTGAAAGTGGTCTGACCTTCAGAGTTTCATCCTGTTGAGAGGGCTTTAGGTAGCCTGTTTTTTTGCGGAAACAAAAGGTGCCACATGTCACCCGAGGATACAAAGTTGCTGGTGCCCTTTTGCGTCCAGCCAGCGGTTGTTGGACACTGCTGACTGTCACACTGACACCGTTGAGCATTAGGAAATGCCAGCCAACACAGTGGATGGTTTTATGTGTGGAGAATGTTGCAACTCAGTAAAGGTGTTTCAAGTTTAAGTTTCAAGTTTATTTCAAAGGTTATATAACCAATTTAGACATTGCAGCTTATAGCTAATCAGGTTCCTCCCCATGACAGAGGTTTACAAACCAATTTCCTGCAGTAGGCACCGACCTAAAGCTGCTTTCACACCCCCGCATGGCAACCGCCCTGACTACCGCCTACCTGCAAGAGCGTCCCCCCCCAAATTTATTTTTAAATATTTCCCCAAGAAAATATGCTTCTGGTTGTCCTTACAAGTCGCTAGCACCGTGTTGTACAACTCCGGTTGTTCAGACACAGGATTACCAGCTCCTCCACAAGGCGCTGTCTTCTTCCACCCTCTTCTATTTCCACAATAACCGCCCCCTTCTAATTCATTGGCAGAAGCCAGGGTGGCAAACGCTTCATATGCCTACTGCCGTCTTCAAAACCGCTTCTCCTCTTTGAAATTACTGGAGGCGGTTAGTTACTGCTCGGCAGTGTGAAAGATCCTTTTACCTGGATGCTTCTAAAACCTTTCTTATAGACAGCTTGGTTGTATTTTTGGGATGTCAACCTTGTTCAAGTGTGAAGAGAATGGAGAGATCCTCTTATCCCAAATGTAGCTACAGTTAAGGGAAAACAAACACAGGACTTTCACCCAGGTGTTGCACAATTTTAAGTTTCACTCAGAGTTTCACTTTACAGTTATTTTAACCCAAACCACATTCTTTTTCCAAAACTTAACTGAGTGGTTTTCTTGCCGAAACCTAAGGAAAAGGTTTTGTTTGAATTTGCAACGTTAATCACGTGTTTACTACCACCGTAGTGAAGCGTGAAAGTCTGACGTGCTACCCAGTGTGTGCCTCGGTTATGCTTTCCGCATGGACGGTTGCACTGACATGAGTTGAACCAGAATTGTGACGAGGAAACATTTCTCCTCGGGGCAAACCAGTATTTCTCACTTCTACCACCAGCAGCTCCTCAAAGTTCTTTATCTTCGCCACCTGTCTGCGTAGTAGACAGACAAAACCTGCAGCATGGACCCCCACACGCAGGGTCGTGTCTGATGGTGTGGTTCACCATAAATTGGGCAGAAAGTAACGTGAAGGGGTCTTGACCAAGCGTCAATATGTGGCCAGTTGGGAATGAGAACAAGTTGCATATTATCACCTAGTAAGTGAGCAAACTTGTTGGGAAAGTGGCTTATTTTCACAAGCAGCAGTAACAAAACAACAGTACCGTTCATTTGGAGTCGTGTTTGTGGCCACATACAAACATTCCCTCTAATGGCTGTTTTTGGTCTGTGACAACTCTTGAGGGAAATAACAGGCCTTTTGGCTGCACAATGTTCTATTGTGTTCACCAACTAGAACTTAACTGTGCCCGCTGTTTGGTTATGAGCAGGTAGTGTCCTATGGGTTTCTAGAGTGTTTTCACTGAAAACAGCTGCCAGCTGCGGCTGAAAACAAAGCTGTGAGAGCAGTCAGAGTGAACCAAAAACAAAAAAACTGCGAGTTGGACAGCTAAACATTGAGCTGTAAATGCCGGTGATAATAATAAATCCCTTTTACTGCTACGTTCCTCAAAAAACAGATCCATAGACCCGTCAAATAACATGTTATGGCAAGATACCGTCAAGACACTGTTGTTTTTCTCCATAAGAACACTGTAGAAATCATGAAAGATACTTAGTGGATTGCCCCAAAAGCAAAATCCCACCGCAGGTCCCCCAATAGCCATGGCTGGCCCTGAAACCGGAATGAAAGACAGAGAAAAAGAAAGATCTTTTTGAAACCAGCCTGACATCCAAAAGAGAGATTTCAGGGGGTTACGAAAAAGACAGCTATCAAAAATTCAAGTGGCTCCATTCAACGTCGGCCTATTACATCTCACCCCTAACTGGTCAGCCAACCATGTCACTTGCAATGTACAACAGTTCATTTCAAAAGGTCGCTCTGCACAGACAGTGGTGCAGCAAAGCACAACTGGAGATGATGTGTGACAGGAAGACAGATTTAATTTTTAACTCTGTTCTCCCTTTTATTCTTTTTTTCTCTTACAATATGAGACACCTCATTCTAGCCAACTAAATCAGCAGTAGATGCAGTTTTTCGTCACAGCAAAACTTAATTCGTCTGTAGCTTTATGGATTAAAGCAAGTGGCGTTCAATTGAGTTTTATTATAGCCTCCGCGCAGTAGGCGGAAATCAACCGTATACACCTACAACACATGATCATCAAACACACTTTATGCTTTCAGTCTAGCGTCGGTGACTCGAATGTGCACGAGGAGAGTATTTGAACAGAAAAAGAAAGAAAGAGAAACAGGAGGGGAGGTTTTGACTGAGGGGGTGTGCGTTTGTGCGTTATGCGGGAGGGTTTGCCTACACCCATATGTGCGGACGTATGCATGAGAGAGACAGAGTGACGGGAGAGAAAGAGGAGACTGTCTAAATATCACAGCTCCCTTTCACGAAAAGCACTCCTTCATTCCCGCAACTGAGGATGGAACAACTGGATCGCAACGCGCCCCCGTACCCATCAGCAATTAAGAGCGAGCGAGCAATTGTTGTCTTTTAAGGTAACGAACGCGCGCGTACCTGACATATCTTTAACGCTTAAGAGTGCACGTTTAGATACATTTGAGGCTTTTCCCCTCATCTATCTTTTCAAGCGTGGCGCACCGTTTCTGTGGATTATGTGAAGGTGGCTGCTCGAAGCTGAGAACGGAGTGCGTCAAGTGAGCGCACGTATCCAACAAGTGGATGCATGGAATTGCTCGCAGCAAACAAACGCCGGGACTAAAAACACAAACAACCAGTGCATTGATGAGCTACAAATCTGAGTACCGATTGATCGGTATCTAACCTGCAGATGTGGAGCTTGTCTTGGTTGGTGGTGATGTATATATGTGCGCATTGTCTCGGCCTGAGGTAGTTTTGTGTGACTTTGTGTATCAATCGGGACATTTTGTAAGACAAATAAAACTGCAATGAGGTAAGACATCCAACATTTTATTTCCTCAGTCATTGACCAAAAGCAAGATTTCAGCGGACACGCTGCGGTATCCACCGCCTCCCACCTCACCCCTCTCCCCCATCCATGGACTTGCTTCTTCGTTCCCTCGGTGACCGTGGGGGGAAGTTGGGCACCTCTCTGTAGACATTTCTGTATGACGAGGGCGCAGGTGGCCACCAAAGGTCGCAGCCATGCCGATGCATCCAGTCACCTCCACGTTGATGTACCGGGGCATCTGCACCATCCCCGACATGCTCTACACCACCCCGGTGAACCTGCCCGAAGACGAAGTTGAAGGTGAGTTGTTTCCTGCTCGCGCATAACCCGGGGCTGTTCAGAGGTGTTTATTCATGACAGGCATATGTAGGCAGATGTAGTGTCGGTGTATGTGGCTGTGGTCAGCTCCCATCGGTGGAGCTCATTTATTCAGCACCTTGGACAGCGCTTGGAGAGAGATTATGTGAAAAGTAAGATTTACAGCTTAAATACAGGCCTGTTTTACGGTTTTAGATTTATTTTGAAAACCCCTGTTCTTTCTGTTGTTGTAATATGAACGAGAGAGAGAGAGAGAGAGAGAGAGAGAGCAAAACTAATCACCCACTTTGTTATCAGTGTTACACTCAGATCAGCTGTATTGTTTCAATTTTGATTGATTGGGAATATAGATTTGCAGCTTATTTAGAAGGTTGCTCACATGGTTGTGTGCTCCAGTGTGGAACTGATTTGGTTGGTGAAACAAGGCATCCCTGCACCCTTTCTGTCATTAAGTGTTGCTTATTCAGGACAGCGGTGATGCATTGGCTCTAATTAGCAGAAGCTGTTGGTGGACATTTGGTTCACGTAAGCCCAGTTTCACTGGCTCATTAAGTCTTTCCACACATACTTTCTGATATTACACATTTTTTATTTAATTAAATTGTTGGTGGCGGGGGGATGCTAAATGATTCAACCAACATCTCTTGATTTACTTAAATCCTTAAAAAAACAATATAGAAAAATTCCACTTCTATAGCACGGTAGTGGCACCTGTGTGCCAAAGGAGCATCCTCCAACAAGCCTGCTGACACATGACAACCATTCTGAGCGATTCAATTATTTTTTTAAGGATCCAGAGAATATTCATGCCTGTAGCACTTGTGATGTGAACCTGCAACATCTGTACATTATCATCCCCGCAGCCACATTGTTCGAGTCCCAGAGCGAGTAAGTTCTTGCATTGTTGCCGTGTCTTCAGTGCTGTGACACCGTGCGGCAGCAGATGTATCCCTGCTGAGTGATTTGATCACTGCGACTCTCATCCTTGTTACCTTAATAATGCAAACCTCGTTAGGGAAACGATGCTGAGACACGTGGATCTGAATGGTCTGCGGTAAAGATTCAGAGAGCTGCTCTTTTTTTAAAGTGCATATGTGTGAATTACAGACAAGCTGGGCCTTGTGGGAAACTGTGTCAGTGGATGCTGGTGCAGAACTCCCCAGGGAGGAATCAGAAATTAACTGTAAAATGAACCAGGAATATACACACTCCTTTTTTTCCAGACACACATGTATGGCAGAGGTTTACATCTGCAATACAGTTGGCAGGGAAATTCAGTGCAGTGATTAGACTCGTTGAGCCTGAAAAGGTGTTCAATGAACGGCCTCGGTATTTGTTACATGACACCTGTTTCAGAATGCACACAGCACCAGAAACAAGAATGGGTGCAAGATAGATCAAGCTGCTTTAAGGTGCCATTGTGCCTTCTGTATTTTGCCATTTTTTTTCTTTTCTTTGACAGCCATCAAACTGAGCCTGTGATAAAAAGGGAAGTGTCAACATGTCAGCGCCAAAAGCGATCTTTCCAAGATGTCATGCCCACCATTATAGCATACCATCACTCAGCGCTTTGTCAAACGTGATTTCCAGTGTACAGAGACCTTGCATGGCAGAAATATATTAGATGCACAGCAAAAACAAAGATGGATGTCTCACATTTCAATCTTTTTTTTTATTGACTTGAAAAGATGCTTTTGGTTGTTGAGATTGAGGAATCTCAGTTTCCTCTTCACCCTCCCACTATAATCTACAGTCAGCTTCAGGTACAATAAACAGACAGTGCTTCATTTTGACTTCAGTTAGTGGAATCCACTTGTGTTGCCTTGCTGCAGTCACATTGTCGCAAGACAAAGTGATCCGTGTGGGCTTTATAGCTCAACTTATAGTGGCAGTTTGACTGGAGAAGCAATGGAGGCTTTGTGGGGTGAATAGGAAAGCCCAAGGTAATGCACGGTTAACAGCAGTGACAGTGCCTTCTTCAGTTGTTGTCGAGCATTAGTGATCCCGCGTGAGGGATGTCTTACAGGTTGTGAGAGAGGCAGACTTTTTAAAGCAGTGTCACCGAGGAGATAGTTACACAACAACAACCTTCTGAGGATCACAGCTTTTGCTGCCAGATAGCAAACAATGGGAACAAAACAAATGAGAAAGTGACGATGAATATTTACATTGTGCCAAGATTTATGCTTTCTGGAACAATCCTGCCTTTACCTTTCTCGTATTTGTAGGTGCTTAAAGATGGACAGTGCTACAAGCAGGCAGCTGGCATCATAATGCATTTTTCTCCAAAGAAATTTCATGTTGCAGGATACATTCACCTCCTTATTGTACGTCTTTTATTTCTGCTATGATTTAAAAACTTCCTAAAGTGGCCGAGGCCCCCTTTAAGAGTTCAAAACATACGAAACATTTTAGGCTTGATTCTTAATGTTTCTAACTAACTTCATGATTTATAACATATTCCTCATGAATATGATTTTGAACTGAGAAGTCCGCTATTACTTCTGCTTTGGGTCAGCCGCAAACATGTTTAAATACACTAGATATTATATGCTCCATGATGTTGACAGTACTTTTTATGCACCACTTTTGGTTTAACACAGCGGCCTCCTGGGTGAAAGTCCTGTGTCTGTGTGACCTGGTAACTATAGTGGACTTTCTCCTTCTTTATAATTGTTATGGTTTGTAGAAACGTGCCATGCAAGCATTTCTTTTCTTGCCAACTGATCTGCGTAATAACAATGCTTTCTTTTGCTGCATACAAGGCCTGCGCATTTAATGAAGGTAACAAAATGTGGAAGGGTTACCACTTCAAATCTTTTGATATAATGGTATTTAATAAGGTCAGAAGAACAGAAGTAAACATTTAAAATGAGAACAATTTTGCAATTATTATTATTATTTTTACACATGCAGCAGCAGGATCTCTAAGAGACAAAACCACGAGGAAGTAAAGCCAATTTCAACAGAACATACAATGTCCTTGTGCTTCCCGGATTGCAGATACAGTAAAGGTTGATAATTTTTAAATCATAATATCAATTGATCAATCTTGAGCGCAAGTCTGTGTCTCGTCACCGCTCGCATCTCTTGAGAGACAGACGGGAATTGCCTGGAAGTGTCACATACATCAGCTCGGCCGTCAAGGAGACAGGGCTTTGTCACGAAACGAAATAGCACATTAGTGAATATGTGGGTGCGAGTGCATGTATAGGGACTGGAGGCTCAAACCCTATTGGCACGCATAGACAGGGACGCAATTTTCAATTACTGGCTTGGACACCCAAGGGATTGGACCAGTGGCACCATACTTTGCGGCAGTAAAGGCTGTCAAAGCTATAATTGGAACAAAATGCTAGTTTTCTGATGCTCTTTAAGCCTGTGTGTATAAATTGAACACTCCATATTGGGCTCCACATTCTCCATTCCCCTCCTACACAAGAGGGACGAATAGAATAACTGTTGGTCACATTACCGCAGCTTGATATAGTTTAGACCTCCTCCACCACTAAAACACACGCACACACAGCTCAGTGTCAACATCACTGCAGGTGAAATTAAGTGGGTTGCCATTTCCACACTGCCTAACAGCAGCCCTATTGGAAGCCGCCTCAAAATAGTCCCAGGGCTGAGCTTAAAGCATTTGTTGCAGGTCCCAGAGTGAGGCTCATGTAAGTACACGCCAGACGCCAGAGGTTTCCTGTAGAAACAAAGCAAAAAATAAGGCAGGATCAGAATGTTTACATCTTTGCGAGAAGGCCATGATCAGGGCATTTTATTTATCGATCCAGTTTTAATCTGCTCGCTTTCCTTTTATCCTTTCTAACGTTTGTTATTGGTAAAGTTGTAGAATCAAAGAAAAATAGAATGATACATATACCAATGTCTGCCTCTTGTTCAATCACTATGCCTTGTGTCCATGGGAATAAACTTCTTCAACAATTTATTTAAAGAGTTAGTTCCCATAGATTCCCAAGAGAGTTGTCTCGAAAACCTCAAAACACCTTTTTTCTTTTGTGACCAAGTGTGGAAACAGAATATATTCATAAATAGTCTATAAATGCAGATATTAAGGTAAATTAATAAATTCGACATACATGAGCGAACTGCTAGAAAAAGATGAACAAAAGGGGAATTTGCCTTTTGTCTAATAATACAAATGTTATGCTTTAAAACAGGAACATCATTTATTAGGGAAGTAGCAGAAGTCGCAAATGTGAATTCATAGTAAAAAGCTTAATATTATAACCAGCCCAATCTAAATGCTAGTTATTCTTGTTCACATTACACAAATGCAGCAGAAATAAAAACAGAAAAAGGGAAGCCAACAGTGGAATTGACTATATTTATATATGACGTGTGTCATATTTAACACATACCCTTTTTTCTGCAGAAGGAAACAGAATATCAACCATTCATCAAAATACAATGTCAATGTATGCCAAAATGATGGTTTTATATCCATAAATATGGTTAATGACACTTGTTTTTTCCCCACAGTCAGTTCCAGTTACATTGTGTTTGGTTGGGCATGAATGCCTTCTTTTAAATCACTGTCAGGGAAACATAAAAGTGATTCCCGCGGCAAACCTGTAACAGAACCCCAGCAGGGACAAATCTCTCAAGGAGCATTTCAAGCTCGAGTTGTAACTGTCTGTGGAAATCGAAATCAATGCCGCCTGCAAAGTTATCTCCATTTGTTCACGCTCGTGGCAAGATAAGGGGCTTTCCTCATCTCCAGATCGAACACAGATTGGGTTGTCACTTCACCCCGGAGACAGGAAGCTAAGATGTTGGAAACAGGAAGTGATTGGATTAATGTAACCAAAGCAACTGAACCCCTAAAGATGGTGTTTACATTCTTTAATCTACTTTGTGATACAAGCAATGGTGGGAAGGTCTGCCTCATCTTATTACTGAATAGGAGACTATCAGCAAGTTTACGTTATTTCATTCATTTTGATATGGAGTGAAAAGATGGT